AAGCACAGAATTTTTGCAAAAAATATCTTGGAGGATGGAAGATCTTTCTAAGTAGGTACCAAAATTCATAACCCATAAAAGAAAAGATCAAAATTTTAACAACAGAAAATTGAGATTCTGCATTTTAAAAAAACTACCAGGAAAGAAAAGACAAACTGGGGGGGAAAAAACATACTCATATTAATGACAAATGCCTAATTTCTCTAATATGTTAAAAACTCCTAGAAATCTATCATAATAATACCAACAGAATAATAATCCAACAGAAAAATGGGCAAGGGAAAGGGTTCCAATAAAAGTATATATGGATGGCCCTAAATATGAAATGATCAACTTTATAAAAAGAAAAAACACAAACTAAAACAACTCTGAAATATCATTTTTTATCTGATCCTATTAGAAAATATAATGCTTTGCTATGGTAATATTGTTAGGAGACAGGCAATCCAAGTATTTATTTTTATATGCACAAAAGATCTCTGGAGAGATACCAGATCTTTGTCTTCAAACTTGCTTGGAATGTACTGCTCCTCTACTCAGCCCATCCAAATCCTATATAAACTGTATGGCCCAGTTCAGGTACTACTTTCCTCTGGAGGCTTTCTTGATCATTTTAGCCCACACTGACCTCTCCCTTCCCTGAACAGTCCCCTTCTATAATCTGAGTCAAGTAAATACAGGTGGTAAAGAACACCAAACTAAAAATTAGAATCCTGAATTCTTATGTAAGCTCTAGCACTAAGTCATTCAACAATTCCACATAGTCTCTGAGCTTCTATGGGGAAGACACTGAACAGGTGAGAGCAAGGAGGGAATGTCAAGATAAGTTTAAGCAGCCCGGGCAGCCCTGGTGGCTGAGCGGATTAACGCTGCCTCCGGCCCAGGGCCTGATCGTGGAGACCCTGGATCGAGTCCCAGGTCAGGCTCCCTGCATGGAGCCTACTTCTCCCTCTGCCTGTGTCTCTCTTTCTGTCTCTAATAAATAAAATCTTTTAAAAAAAATTAAGCAGCCCCGGCACTGAAGGGTTACATATTTAACAGAGACTATAATACTCTGCAAGATCCCTGTTTTCCTCTCCTTCTTTAGTCCACAGACTCCCTGGGCCTCCTCTTTGCCCCACTTTCTGCCAAGGGAATCTAAGCAGTAGCAGCAGGCACTATTCCAGGCTGGTGCCTCATGAAAACTGCTTCCAAGCCTAGATCATCTGCATGATCATCTCTCTCTCTCTCTCTCTCTTCCTACTCCTACTACCCACATCCCCAGCTGCTGCCTGGATTTCAATATCCAGGCAATTCTAGGAGTCATGAGCTGAAAGTAATAGAAACTCTGTCTACCTACATCCCCCTCACCTCTCTTTCACTGCAGATCCACACTGGACAGTGACAAAAGCCAAAAGTAAATCCATATTGGGTTAAGTCGCTGATATTTTAAGACTGTTTCTTAAAGCAGCTAATATTACTTATCCTAATATATAAGTATGGAAATAGAATAATAGTCCTATAAATCCAAAATTGTCCCACATTATTAACTATATTTCTCTAATCAATTGGCTTTTGTGCTGTCCATAGCACAACGTTCTCATTTTCCTCAAATCACCAACTGCCAACCACATTCTTCACGTATGTCTTCATACTACAGTGATAGGGATCTGTCTGAAAAACTGAAACTAAAGTTCCATTTTTAAGCTAAGTTTTCAGACTACCTCCTTTGTCATTTATTACAACTCCAGCTATCTTCTTACCCAGCCAAGGAGTAGAAAAAAAGGCCTTTTTTGTTTGCTTGTATTAATGTTACTCATTTTGTTCTTGGTAGACATTGGAATACCACATACATTTCCCATCTTTTCAATGATGTCCAGTCCCAGGGCACACTCTCTCATAGGTTTACGTGGCATCCTGATATCTACAACTATTTTCTAAATGGGAGGAAAGCTTGACATTTTATGGCCTGTCTCTAGCTGGCAAGATTTTCACAATGGAATATGGACACAGAGAGGCATGCATTAGAACTTTGAGAGCATGGCCAGGGGTTTGGACACCTGGAAGCAAGTCCCAAGTTTTGATTCTACTGGTCAGTTTAAATCTCTCCAAGCCTAAGTTTCCTGGAAACTGGGGATGATAACACTACCTGCCTCAGGGTCGTGTTGTGATAATTTGATTAAATTCTCTACTTTGGGGGATCCCTGGGTGGCTCGGTGGTTTAGCGCCTACCTTTGGCCCATGGTGTGATCCTGGAGTCCCAGGATCGAGTCCCACATCAGGCTCCCTGCATGGAGCCTGCTTGTGTCTCTGCCTCTCTCTCTCTCATAAATAAATAAAATCTTTAAAATAAATAAATAAATTCTCTACTTCAAGGCATCTTCCTTCCATTCTTAGTCGCTAAGATACTAGAGCTCAGCTCCAGAATCTGATTTTACTCCCCACTCCCTCCAAACTGTGTGCATTAAATTCTGACTGCAGTAAGTGAAAATAAGAATTTGAATATTTCCAATCCAAAGAAATGGCATGAGGGACAAAGAAGATTTCAACATAAAGGATATGACAGGCCTGGCAAATTCTAGTCAGTCACCTGCCCTGCCCATACTGCACAGCTGTGCAGGACTTGGAAAGCAACCAACTTTCCAGTGAGGCGGGACATACTGACCTCAGCTCCAGTGATTTCCATGAGTCTTTGAGTAGTTGAAGTATCTACTTTAGCACACAAAAGTTAAAGCAGGAAAGTTAAAGCAGGAGGCTTGCCTTTAGCTGGAGCTCTGCAGCAGATAAAAAGCAAAAGAAAGTCCATTACTGGCTACTGTTAACATTGCATACAGTGTCACAAGGGAGGAATAGATAAGAGGTATTAAAAAAAAAAAAACTTCTTTTAAGAAAGAAGAAAACTGTTGCAGAAAATAATATACTTGCCTTGCCTCTTGGTGTAGATTTAAGCAAGACAAGAAAATAGGGGAAATAAAGGTCTGAGCCAGGCAGGCAGGAGGCCCAGTTATGGGATATATCCTTATGTTAGACAATGACTTCACATACTTTTAGGTGATAGAGGCTGAAATTAGCTGCCTTAGTTAAGAGGAAGCTCCCTCTTGCACCCCCACTAAGGGCAAAATGCGAGTATATTACAGGTTGCTTATGTGTTCTAAGGGGAAAGAGCATAAAGCCAGGAAGGCCATCTCAATAAAGGGCAATACTAGGAACTGAGTGTTCAGATAGGATCTAGAGTTTTTGATGCTATTTGAAGCTAAGAGCAGAACCATGTTTTGCTTTTCAGCCCAGATTACTTTCCTTGCATCTTGAACCCTCTACTGATTGTAGGCTGGGTTAGCAGGTGGCTTCTACAACCAAGCTTCTTCTATCTCTCAGTAATATCAGATAATGGGTGAAAAGCATATGTTACCACATCACTTCATGTTTGCAGCACCTAGAGGAAGTCAACATTGCAAGGGACTGAGAAGGAACAGAGAGAGGGAGGGGTGGGAAAGACCAGCTAAAACTGAAGTGTCAAAGAAGCAAAGAGAAGGGAATGCATGAAGACAGAGTAATCACATAAGTCCAGATCCAGAAAAGAAAGACAGAAAAGTGTCCACTAGATCTATTAATGTGGAGGTCATAAGTGCCTTAGTTGTTCTGGTAGATTGGTGGGGTCAAGACGAGCTAGGAATGTTTTGAAGTACAAATAGGTGAGGAAGTGGAGACAGCACATGTGGAGAGCTCTTTTGAGATGCTCCCTGTTTAAGAGAGCAGAGAAATGGGGATAATTGGACATCAGTTTAGGTCCAGACAGGGGATTGCATTTGTTTTCTCTTGCTTATATTTGCTTCACTTTTAAAGAAGGAGTGTCAATTGGACTTTCAAGTTGAACAGGAGAGGTTGAAGATGCCAGAGAGGGAGAGAACACTAAGATTGTTAATGTCCTCAAATAGCCTTTCTCCCATTTTCTGTGCTAGTTGAATCTATGAATTTCAACTAGGTAAATGGCCTCCTGAGGATAGTAGGAGAGGCTGCTCAGCCACTTGATGCTGACCCTGACATAACAGTTCCCCCCCAGTCTGACTTTCTCCTCCAGACTCCCAGTCCATCTTTTACCACCAACTGCTCACTATCAGAAGTCCCAAAAGTCCTTTTCTGGTTTCTCCAGAGCAAGAAGGGGGGAATTAAATTACCTGCCTTGTTCTGTTCTCTATGACTGTAATGACATAAAGTCTATGCCTTGATTTCCTTTTCCATTTTATTCTCAAAAACTTAATTGAGGGGATCCCTGGGTAGCGCAGCGGTTTGGCGCCTGCCTTTGGCCCAGGGCGCGATCCTGGAGACCCGGGATCGAGTCCCACGTCGGGCTCCCGGTGCATGGAGCCTGCTTCTCCCTCTGCCTGTGTGTGTCTCTCTCTCTCTCTCTCTCTGTGTGTGACTATCATAAATAAATAAATAAACTTTAAAAAAAAACTTAATTGAAAATAAACATATATACCAGATTCAAACATACCACTCTTAACAGCAGCCCTTTACTTCCATTTGCATTCCTACTATTACAACAACCCTAATTTTCCTTGAAATAATATGGCTATTCTCACTGTCTAGCACAGGGCTCAGCAAACATTTCCTGTAAAAGGCCAGATGGCAAATACTTTGGGTTTGAGGGTCATAGGGTTTCTGTTGTGATGACTCAGCTCTACCATTCTGTTGTAACATAAGCCACAGACAATAGATAAATAAGTAAGGGTAGCTGTTTCCCAATAAAACTTTATGGATATTGAAATTTGAATTTCCTATAATTTTCATATGTCCTAATATACCACTCTTCTGTTGGTTTTTCTTTAATCATTTAAAAATGTAAAAAATAATTCTTATCTCATAGTCTGTCCCAATAAAAGGCAACAAGTCAGATTTGCCCACCCCAGTCTAAAGCTGGAACACACAGAAAGGAAAAAAACACATACACAAAAATATTCCCAGATAGCTCACGATAGTGGATACTACACTAACTTTAAGTTTCAAAAGTTGCTTATTACCTCATTCTTTAAGTTTTAAGTTTTCATGGAGAGGAAGGATTCTGCTCCATTCTCCAAGATAAAACTCTACCAGAAGAATACTTCTGGTCTCTTTCTCCCCTCACCGAACTCATAACTCAGTTGGTGAGATGTGATGAAGTGTCTGCCAAACCACAGTCCAGTCTCTTCTCTCCTAGGACTTGCAGGCCCACATGGAGCACACTCCTTCTCCACTTCTGTTTTCAAGTCAGACCTAGATTCTTCTTCTAGGGTAGCAGAGTATACACATCACAGGCCAATCTACTGAGATAGAAGAATAAGATATTAGAACTGTTATTTATTTTTATTTCATTCTCAAATTTATATCTTAAGTTGTTAAAGAAAAACTGACTGTAAGTTTATATGTAATTTGTAATGAAGGAACATTTGAGGATGAGTAATCAAAAATCATTTATTCATAGGGATTTCTAAATAAAAAGCTTGGGTATTATGATTTTAGAGACAGTAATGAAAATGTGTAGATGGGCCTCATGCCAGGCTGTGATCCCGGATGAGGACCCATCCCAGAGTCTAAATCTAACTGAAGGATGGCCAGGGGAGAAGATGCATAGGAAGTCTTGCTGTGGCCTCAGGCCCAAGCATCCTTCTCAGTACAGTACCAAGTTGAAGCAGATGGAGCACCTCAACCCTCATCTGCTTCTGGGCATTTACCCTCCATTCAGAATACAGTGACAAGCCCATGTGACTCATTGGCTCCCTGGAACTCTCCAGAAGTTAGCTCTCTGCCTGTTGATATGAAAAGATACCTTACTAAGCAAAAGAAACAATGTACTGTTTTCTCCTTTGTGAATTTTGCAACTATAGCCTATGAATACAGAAGTAATGGATGATTTACCTAATGAACTGAATTCAGTGGAGCACAAATATGCCTCAGCTTTCTTTCTGAACACAGCCTTCACACATGCTGTACTAAAACCGCTTCTCACACCACCCCTCCCATGATAATCTTGAGCTAATCCCACAGACTGACAGTGTACTTTCAGATAGAAAAACACTTTTGAATTGATCATTACAACTAAGCTCACTTCCGTGTATTAAAATGATTCAGTCTTGCCTAAATCAAACAGAAAAACATTTCCAATTCAAAATTTCCCCCTGAGCCTTGGATATGCAGCTCAGGCCAGCACTGTGGCTTGGGAACTTTTAATAATGAAAGGAGGTGTGAACAGTGCTTCCATTTTCCATCCATCCTCCTTCACCTCTGGTAATTGGCTCCTCTGGAGTTCACATGGGGCGTCTGGGTATGAGTTTATAGGAGTGGTGCTAGCCTGTTGTAACTGAGCTCTATACAGAAGGTATTCTGTATAGAGGTGTCTAAATTTGGCTCTCTCCTGGGGACATGTGCAGATTGCCGAGACCCTGTAGGGATATGGACAATATACAGTTAGTTCCCTGACCTGGAGGATGAGGAAGAAGTAGACAGGAAGGGGTATGCACCCTCCAGCTAATCTCCTGAGTCCCCACCTCCCCACTGAAGTACACTCTATACTCTCTTTTTGCCACTACCAAGTACCCCCCCTTGGACAAGTTTCCTTCAGGTTCAGCTCTCTTCCTTGGTACTCACTTGACTTAGACACATCATACTCTGAGCACACAGACTTCTCTCCTTGCTCTAACACTGAAGCTACTCCAGCCAGCCTCCACCTGAAACTTACATAGGTAGAAAGGAGGCAGCAGGTTCCATGTTCCATATGAAGCTCTTCTCAAGAACTCTCTCCATCATACTTTGCTCTGGTAGCTATCCTGGGATTGTGTTGGGTACATGTATCTGCAACTCCCCAAGCCTTTCTCCCCAGGAAAGATACCAGATTCCCAATCACTCTTAGTGGTTTTCTTAGCAGCCTACCCCCTGTTCCCCCCAAACATGTACACAAACATAAACATACATAGAAAAATCATAGCACTTGCCCCTATTCTTTAAATGCCATAGAAGGGGATCCCTGGGTGGCTCAGCAGTTTAGCGCCTTCCTTTGACCCAGGGCATGATCCTGGAGTCCCAGGATCCAGTCCTGCATCGGGCTCCCCACATGGAGCCTGCTTCTCCCTCTGCCTGAGTCTCTGCCTCTCTCTCTATGTGTCTCTCATGAATAAATAAATAAAATCTTTAAAAATAAACAAACAAACAAACAAATAAATGTCATAGAATTTTTAGACTTTTTTTATACAGACAAAAGGTGGATGTTAGGATGAGGGTCAAAGGATCTGTTCAGCCAACCCTTTTTTTTTTTAAGTGGGCTCCACACCTACCATGGAGTCCAGTGTGGGGCTTGAACTCACAATCACAACCATGAGTTCAAGCCCTGAGCTAAGATCAAGAGTCGGACACGTAAATGACTGAGCCACCCAGGCACTCCTGTTCAGCCAACTTTTAAGTAATCTTTTGGGCATATATATTGTCTAACCTTAGAGCTTTGGTCAAAATATTAAGGCATCAGAAGTCCCATTCCATGTTCTATTATACACACACACACACACACACACACACACTTACTATAGTAGAAACATTCTAGAAATATTCTAAAAACACACAAATAAAGAAGCTATGTTTCTCCAGAGAAAGGCTCAGGAATTTGTAGTAGGAAGAAGCATTCTCTATTTAAAGCATACCTTTTAGGGGCATCTGGGTGGCTCTGTCAGTTGGGCATCTGACTTCTGCTGACTTCGCCTCAGGCCATGATCTCTGTCTGGGTCCGTGGATCCAACCCACATTTGGCTGCCTGCTAAGCAGGGAGCCTGCTTCTCCCTTTTCCTCCACCCCTCCCCCTGCTTGTGCCTTTCCTCTCTCTCTCTCAGAAATAAATAAATAAAATACATACTTTTTAAGCATACCCTTTAAGTACTTGAAAAAAATTTTTAACATGTGCATATAGTACTCTTCTGGTTTTAATAAAACTGGCTTTTTTTAAAATTTATTCATGAGAGACACAGAGAGAGGCAGAGACATGGGCAGAGGGAGAAGCAGGCTTTTGCACGGAACCTGATTCAGGACTCGATCCCAGGACCCTGGGAACACACCCTGAGCCAAAGGCAGATGCTCAACCACGGAGCCACCCAGGTGCCCCAGAAAATTGGCTTTTAAGATGAAATACCTTACTGGGGTGTGGTCCTCACACTGATGTAATAAAAAAGTGTGGGTGTTATTACTCACAAAGAAGCAAAGTAAGGGCTTTGTTAAAGCAACTTAGACAAGTTGATTTCAAACAAGGGTTAAAGTTTTATTTCAAAGTTCCCCTCAAGGAAGCTAAGCTTCCAAGAAAAAATTTCTTTGGGGGAAAGAAGTTTTAAGGGGGGAGAAGGGGTTGTGTATATAAAATTATTAGATTAGATACAAGAACACCACTCCTTTCTCTTTGAACAAATAAACAGTGACAGTGTGCCTTTACTATGCCCCAGATGCTGTGCCAAGGACTGGGGATGAATGGAGACACTGAAGGTCTTGTCCCCTAGCCCCCAGCCCTATCACTCATAATCTGGTGGGGAAATCACTGAGTAATTGTCTAGTGTTAAATGTCAGATGAGTGTGCTGCGGGTGGAGCATGGGGAGGGCGCCCTGTGTGTGCTACAGTGGCTGAGCTGAAACCTGATGGACAAGAAGTTAGCCAGATGGAAGAGGAAGCAGGTCATGAGGGCCCGCATGACCTCAATTCCTGAAAGATCAACTGTCTTTGAAAACCTGTGGTCTTTTATCCTCCTCCTACCCCAAACTTCAGCCTCAGGGGAAGCTATATCCCTTTTCCTGTGCCAGTCCAGCTTTTAACACGTATGCTCCACTTCCTGTCAACTAAACCAGAGACCTTGGTGTCTTTAACTCAAGTGTTCCTTTTGTTCCTCTATTTAGTTAGAGATGTGAGATGGCCACTTGGCAGGTATCAGGGTAGTTCTGTGGACGCTGGTTTTCTTGTATCTCTTCGATCTATTTCCACTGCTGGACACCCGTCATCAATCCCACTTTTCAGAATTCATCTCTAATCTCACCTATTACAAGCTGACATCTCTGGCTCTCCTCACTGAAGCTCCATAGCTGAGTCAAGACGAACTCCAATAAAATCCTTTAATGACTCAGTTGGCCAGATTTGCAACCAAATTCTTCAAGATCTGAGCCCGGCCTACCTCCCTGCATCTCTCCCCACAACAAGCCTTCATTTAAACTTTTGGAAATTCCCCCTTTTGCATAGTGTTTCATGCCTTTGGCCCTTTGCTTATACTCTCACTTCTAATTTATTCAAGTAGCCCATCTTATGGAGGTACTGGCAGACATTGTAGAGAGTACTGGGGACATGATGGGAACAAAACCAGACATGGTCCCCACCCTCATGAAGTATACAGTCTACTGGATAAGTCAAGCATTAATTAAATAAAGACAGAAACAAATACAAAATTATAACTGCAATGAAAAACTATGGTGGGAGATGAAGAAGAAGGAGGAGGAAAAGGATGGGCAGGAGAGGAGGGAAGAAAGATGAGGAGGTGGAGAAGAGGGGAAAGAGGAAGAAAAAGAAAAAATAGATCAGGGAAAATGTCTCCAAGGAAATCACAACTGAGCTAAAGAATGAGTAGCAGTTAATTAAGTGCAAGGAGAGGGAAGATCTTTTTAGGCAGAAAGAACAGCAGGTGCAAAGGCCCTGAGAAAGCCAGGAGCATGTTGTACAGGCTCTAAAAGAATGTTAGTGCATCTCAAGCATTGAAAATGGAGAAACCCCTTCCCAATCTTGTCTTCCAGGCAAATACTAACTCATATTTCAAGACTGGCCCCCTGGAAAAATTTTTCTTATCCCTATCAACCTCTACTCTCAGGCCAGTAGGAATCAACCACTTCTTCTTTGACCCCTACAGTACCAAATAAACATGTCACCGAAAGCCCTTTCCTGTAGGTCTATGTTTCATGTCTGTTTTTCCCCACAGGTCCATGAGTTGTCTGAGGGAGGTGCTGGTGCACAGTCATCTCTGCATCAAGGTCCCTAGCACAACACTTGGCACAGAATAGACTTCTCAGTGTGTGCCATCTGAATGGGTGGGTGGAGGGATGGATAAATGAACAAAATTAATATTAAATGCATCCATTCCTTTGGAGATTAAGACTAAACACTGATATAATCCTCCTACTCTGGCCAGTGCCAGTCTCCAGTCTCAGCCTCATACACCATCCAACTCCCTCCCAGGGTTTCAGGGGTCATACCGTCCTCCCTCAGTCCTCAAACTTGCCAGCCCTTCCCTGCCACAGGATTATGTGTGTAGTCCCCTCT